TTTTTTTTTTTGTTTTTAAAGCTTTTAACAAGATTTCTATTATAATATGGGTAAATATGGTTACCCATATTATCCATTGGGTAACTCGTTTTTACCCATTTAAAATGTGAGTCTAGTCTAGTAACTTACCCATTTTTATTCAACTTGTTTTTTGATTGACTCATATGTAGCTCGACTCGCTCGTTTGCCACTCCTAGATTCCTAGATATGACTTTACTTCAAGGTACATCATTGTGCTTAATCTATCAAATAGTCGGGATTTATGAAGGACTCATAAGAATCATAAACCTGGTAGGCATGCCAATCCGATCTTTATAGCATATGCATATGTGTGCTTCAATCAAAATGAAATGTAATGCATGCGTCCAATAGCGATGCCATAATATTAATACAAATTCAAGCTATAATGAATATGAACCAAGTAAATCACATATCCTTTAAAATATGCTTACGAGTCATGGAATTCAATCCAAACGAGGAAAATAATCAAATAACTCATATCATGCCGCTGGTACCTATCTAAATGCTCTTCTTCTCATTTATACATATATTTACTACCCATTACCCCATTTGTTCAACTAAACATTACACTAATACTTCATAAGAGTCAAAGAAAGTCTCAATTTTTCTTAATCAAAACCTAAAAATTTAAATTATGATTTTTCCTTTCTTTAAAAACTCTGACCAATCCCAATCTAGTCAAATATGCAATCGATATAGTAAATGATTTTGTAGTCACCTATCTTTCCATGAAAAGAATCGGCTCAAAATGTCAACTTCGAGACATACATGTGTCGAATTTGGAAATTTCTTTCAAAATAGTTTTATCCATATCTTGCGAAACTCATGGATAAAAAGTTAGCTCAAATGAACCATTAATTAACACCCAAATATAAATAAAGAAATACATAAAACTCATTTTGGGGAAAAAATTCCTCGATTCTCCAATTTAAAACACTAATTTAAATCTTTATTTCGACGATAGATTGGTGGGGGATCTGTAGATGAAAGGTTAGATTCTTCACCCCCCCCTCCCCCTCCCACCATAATCAAATCTTGAAATACCTACCAAAATTTTGAAATCTTTCCAATTGTGAATGGATCATTGCAATTGTGAGGAACCGGATCCCGACCAAGTATCACAATTTTGAACCAACCATCATCATTGCAAACCTCTCATACCCCCCCCCCCCCCCCCACCCCCCCCCCCTCCCCCCCCCCCCCCCCCGCCAC